TTCAATTCTGTTCTGAAAAAGAACAACAAAATACTGGTTCTTAAAACGTAAGTCTGATTGCTTTGATAGTATATATCTATATGTACTTCAGTTGGACCTTTCAGATTTGTTCATTTTATGATGATATCTTAAATCCTCTAATTTAGATGAATTTATTTGTCATTTTTGGTAAAAAGTGATATTTTTGATTTCTTGTTGAAAACCGCATGTCTGATTGCTTTGAAATTACACATAGAAGTACTACAGGTGGACCTCTTACAGATTTGTTCATTTTGAAATGTGCATTGCTAACAGCTCAACTATCTCAGCCCAGAGGCTGTTTGTTACACACAAATTGGAATGTTTGTCATTTTGTTTATACCACATTGAATACACTTTATTTCGTATTGTTATTTTGCAGTCATGCCCACCAATTAATGTGTATACAGAGAAAAATCTACAGCGTGCTTTGGATTTGGCAGCGAAGAACTTTATAGAACAAGAAACAACTGTCAATATGAAATTTAAAGAGGTAAGTATCGTTGAATAAATATCATTTTTCAGGATAAGGTCAGGAAAAAAAATTCTCTGTTTCTCCTTTCTGCTTACATGTTAAAAAACATGCTGCAGGTGTTACTAATGGCAACAAGTTTAGCATAATTGCGTTGAAATTTTGAACTGGTCTATTTTATAAAGGGAAAATCAGTCATCACAAAAACATTACCGTACTTCCCCGAGTATAAGCCCAGGGGCCTGAACATGTAAAATCGGGAAAATTAGGGTGTGGGCTTATACTCGAGGACCACCTCAGAAAAGAAAATTTTTTGGGGGGTTTAAAATTGTAACCATCTTTCCAGCCACGAAAAATTATCCAAATTACATTTTTCGCTCACAGCACCGGTCTCGGAAAAATATTACGTCTTTTTGATTTCCACAACACTTTTTAAAATGAAGAAACAAACATGTTCATAAAAATACACACGTTTTATTACAATACGGTTTACATACTGTCTGAATTTACGGTGCAAAAATAGATAGGGTCTGTGGGAAAACAGTCGAAGGCAAAACTTAATATTAATATCTTCGTTGTGGAATGTTTTCGATCGTACGCAAACTCTTGATACAATGCAATTTCCGCCATGTTGTTTTTGACTCCCATGTGCGAAGCACAAAATGGGAGTCTTTGCAGTTAGTGTGTCTGTATGTGTGTGTGTGTGTGTGTATGTGTGTGTATGTGTGTGTGTATGTGTGTCCGACTGTTCCACTGCTATCTCAAGAACCATACATCGGTTTTTGATGAAACTTGGTGCATAGATGCTCTGGGCCAATGCGCAGATTTGATTACGTTTTGGTAAAAATCCATGCTCGTTAATTACCTAATTTGCAT